AGGGATTATTGTTATTTGGAAAGAAAAGGGTGTGATGGTCTCTTAAGGGTTTTTCTAAAATGTAAGATTCCTGTTTGACTCACCAACTGTTTTTTGTCCTCTTCTGACAATGAAACACACCCTATTTGTTTTCACTGAAGAATCAGTTTCTTCTAGTTGCCTGTTATCGAGTAAGAAAACAAAACCCATTTACTATCCTAGAGCTTGGGCTGGGATGTACAGAAACAGTAGACAAAGCATTCAGCAGTCCCACAGGTTTTAGAGAAAGCTGCACTAATGCCAAACTTTCTATTGCCAATAAGCCCTTAGTGTAAGAAATACTGGTAGAAGTTTGAGGTATTACGGGGGTACTGGGTTGGGTACATAATGAAAAGCTGTGGGCTCGCTTTCAAACTGCACCACTCGGTGTTTTTCTGAATCTTTCTTAAAGAAACTTCAGCTGCACTAAGACTGAGAATCCCTACCAGAACCTATTTTGGCAGAACTGCCAAGCAGAAAACCACAGTGCCTGGAAACATATTCCTTAACTCTTCACTAAATCAACTCTATTGCAGTCTTCCAAATCTCCATCCTCCAGAATAAAACATTATTGCAGCCAGTTGCTTCATCTTTTCCTGCTGGAGAACCTCAGGCAGGAAGAGAGGATTTCACTCCTGCTACAGAATCCAGCTCTCGCCAGGTACATTTACTACAACTTCTTATCCTCAGGAAGTGGTGGTGGCTCTGCAGGCATAGCAGGAGGGTGATGTGCCAAACCTCATGGACACAGCAGGTCAGGCTTGGTTTCTTCTGTTCTCTGGCCATTCTTGGAATGAACCCAGTAGGATTTCAGAAAGCCCTAACCAGCAAGTTTTTTCATAATAACAAGGGCAATGTCAAACACGCTGCAACTAAACTTAGTCTTTGAATTAGTTTGCTTGACTGAATTTCTAGTCCACTACGTATTTGGCCTATCTGCCCTGGAAGAAATTCAACTATACCTGTCGTTTAGGGGCAGATGCGTATCTGATGAGGATTGAGTTGTCTTGGACTGTACTATGCTGCCATATTGGGGGTGTGCCCCTTTTTGTCCCTTCTGTCCTAGAGATATGCCACTCAAGCTCACACACCCCTGGTTGCTGCCCAGTGCTAAAACCTTTTTCCAAGCTTGAAGGAGTCAGAAACTGCAGTGTGGTGTAGCAGCCAGGAGTATATAGATTACCAGTACTATGGCAGGGGAAATTAGCCCCTGTGTCTTGCATTCAGGTTTCTTACGCGACTCACTTTAATGTGAAATTAAACTTCCCTTGTTCTTCTGATAGATTCAAGGCAGCTAATCCTCAGCTTTTACAAAATAGAGTCAGGGCAAAACTTCTGAAGGTCAAAAGGCATTTCTGGCAGCATGCAGTCACTCCCTGGTCTGCTAATGGGTCTATCTCTGACAACACCTTATGTGTTGCAGGCAATTAATACTGTTCATATTAGCCTCAGCTCAGCGTTGGCCTCTATTGCCAGAGTATGTCATGGAGAGAGAGTGAGCTGAGGTGTCAAGCTGCCCAAGATTTTATAAGTGAAAATGATGGCATCTTGCAACTAAAGACTGCAGAGCATGTACATCCATCAGTTAACATAGGCTTGGATCTAGAAAAGGTCTCAGCAGGAGATTTCTCTGCTCACAAACCAACACCCCTCTCAGTCATTGCCTAAACTTACTATGCATTTTACATCAGCAGGCAGTGGGTAAAAGAAGCACAGCTTGCCCTAAAAGGGAAGGCCTGACCCCTGGAGCCTCTCCTCTGAAAGGGAAGGCCTGAACCCTGGAGCCTCTCCTCTGACCATGCCCTAAACCTGAGGCTGTTATTTCTGTTGCTCTATGGCCCCACAACTTCATGTTTCACTTGTGCAGCAAAATTGCTTCAAGGGGAGGATTAGAGAGCAACCATCCTCCATCATGTGGTGCCTTGCCTCCCGGCCTGCTCCTCAGAGATGTTTTACAGAGTTTTATAGAGTTGTCCTCCTGTTACCTAAGGCTGAGAAGGACAGAGGAACCAACTCTTAATTTCTAATTAATAACATACCAGCTTTTCATTAATAATCTAATTAGCAGAGAAGACTCTGCTCCTGACCCCAGAAGGTACAGCCCTGCTGGGAACCCACCTGCAAGGGGCCAAACCCTTGTCCTGGGCCTCAGGGGCTGATTTGCAGCAGCTGCCCACCTCCCGCTGCTGGAGACCCCAGTTAAACCCAGTTAACCCCCCCTCAGCATCCAGGGCCGCTGTGCGCTGGATTTTACCTCACGTGAGCAGTGCCAAAAAGGCCATTTCCCAAAGGTGGCCAAGCCCTGCATGGGTGAGTGCTGGGGAAGGACGTCGCTGCCTCACAACCGTGTGCCATGCTGGGCCTGGGCTTGGCAGCAGCCTGTGAAGGGTTAATGCCTGGGAGCTGCTAATTACCCCTGCAGGAGTGGTTCATTACCCCTCCAGGGGACAAATAGGAGCAGCTGTGAACAGAGGGCTAAGGCAAGAGGGACAGGCTGCAGCAGGAGGGACAGGCTGTGTGGGACTGGAGATAAAAGGTTAGTGAAGTAGTTTTTTTTAAGCAATGCTCTTTTTCATTATTATTAGGGGGTGGCTGCTGTTTCTGGAAGCAAAGGGCTGTGGTGTGTGGCTCCCTTTGGCTGTGAAGGGCTGGAGGCTTGAGTGGGGCCCATCAGGGAGACAGCCCCTGCCCTGGGCCTTGCTGTGATGTCTGGCCCCTCTATGGTGAGGAGGGAGGCCTGGTAGCAGGCCCAGCCTTGCTCCTTATGGTGGTGGCAGCATAGGGAAGACCTTAAACTCCTTGTTCCTCTCTCTACCCCCTTGGCCATGCTGTGTCTTGTGCAGAAATTAACTGCTCATATTGGCTCAAATCTCATGTTACTGCAAGCATTATCTTGGAGTGAATCATCTACCTCATGACTTGATTTTTTTTTTTTTTTTAAAAATTTAAGAGTCCCTTTCCTGTGAAACAGGATGCAGATACGCCTTTGTTTCTCTCAGCCACCACCTACTTCTGGTTGGTCTGGTAACTCCCTCAGCTGTTTGGCCCCTGTCTGTGGGGTTTAAGAGACTGTCCAAATCCCAGTGCTCCCATACAAAGGCTATGTGTATTGTGGCACTGCTGGTGCTGTCATCTGCAGGCTATGCCCTATGAAAACCCCACAGCCTTGTTTATAAACTTCTGAGCTGCTACTCTTGAGGCTGGGACTTACATGTGGTGGAAAGCTGGGACCCTGAACAAGCAATGGGAGATGGTCACTCACTTTTAATCATAAAGAGCTCTTAAGATTTTTTTTACCCTGCTAAGCTGTCTTCCTGCCTGAAAAAAAGGATGAAAAAGAAAGCAACCTACCTGCTTTTTTTATGTATAAGTGCTGAACCTTTTGCTGTTATATAGAGCATTATAACTGCTACTGGTAGTTCCTGCTGGGTTTGGTTTGAACGCTGATCTATCTCAAGTATTAATTTACATTCATGTATGATTAAGGTTCTGGGGCAGAGTTGTTGCTGCCTGTGAGGGCTTAGACTTGAAGGACAGTGTTGTCATTCAGTTTTGGTCCAGTCTGTAAGTAAAGGAAGATGTGAGCAGTAGAATAGCAGTGGTTGGGGCAGCTTTCAAACAACATTATTCATGGCAGGAAGCTCATGATGATGCTGAGGAACTCAAAGTGGTTGGCAGCTCCTTTGAATGCATATCCCTTCCCATCTGCCTACCTGTCTTCCCCTCTGCATGTCTCTGCTCATCTCCACCAGTGCAGCAGCCGCCAGCGGTGGGGCAGAGCAGAAAGTGGTGGCAGCTGGCTCTGCTGGATGCACAAGCAAGGGAAAAGCATCAGTCACAAGAGCTGAGGAGACTTTTGACCCTCCTGAAAATGGGGGAAGGGTACTGCTAAATAACCCTGGTGACTGCAAGGAGACAAGTCAAAACTGGACTGTTGTGGTAATGGGGAGTGGCAAGAGAGGTGGAGCTGCAAATACAGCTGGGGGAATTTGTTCAAAATCTTTGGTCCATCTGCCTGGTATTACTTGCTGGGTTGCAACATAACCAATCCAGAGAAAGCAGGTTCTTGAAACATCAGGTCCCCTCTTCCAAACAGGAAAAGTTTTGTAATTGAAGGGCATGCACCTTCCAAACTTTGTCCTAGATTGATTCAAGTTCATTGAATCAAAAGCCAGTTCTGCCATTACCTGAGCAGTTAATAAAATCTATTGCCTTCTGATGGATTTTTTTTCTGCAGGCTAGAATTGATCTGTCTTCATTGTGATTTGTGAGATTGAGGGGATCTGCTGCACTGAAAAATTTCACTGTGTTCTTCTAAGGCTTGGAAGTAGCTAAAACTGCAGTGGTCATTTTTTTGATTTATTGAAAATAAAGCATACCTTATTAACATTTTAATAAAGAGAATCTCTTTGCAGTGGTGCTCAGAGTTGCTCTTATTTCTCTCTCTGCAATTCCATTCTCTAAAAGGGAAAATACTATTGAGATCTTGCACTGAAAAATTTCACTGTGTTCTTCTAAGGCTTGGAAGTAGCTAAAACTGCAGTGGTCATTTTTTTGATTTATTGAAAATAAAGCATACCTTATTAACATTTTAATAAAGAGAATCTCTTTGCAGTGGTGCTCAGAGTTGCTCTTATTTCTCTCTCTGCAATTCCATTCTCTAAAAGGGAAAATACTATTGAGATCTGTAAGGCATGATTTGTTAGACTGAAACTAAACACACAAATACACCAAAGCAAAATGCTTTCTAAAGGTGCTGTGTTTGTGAGAGGTGCTTGCCCAATATGTGTGATGCAAAATGGGGATGCTTTGTGAAGAAATCATCCTTGTAAAGCCATTGGTTCTGGTCATCAGACTCTATCCAATGCTTTAGTGATGATGCTGCTGATCTATTTGGGAAGTTGGCTGGCTCTCAAGGCAGAGTCTCTTCTCAAAGGCTGTTTCACAGTGAAAATATGCTCAGTGCAGCCGAGTGCATGAATGAAAAAGCCTCTGGTACCTTCTAGTCTGGCAAAATGCAGCACAAAACTCAACTTACTCTGTCCTTTCTGCTGTCCCAGGTAAGAAATGTGTGTTTTTTCCTTGTTTTCTTTCACCTTCCTTCTCCTGTGCATTTGGATTTGAAAGTATTTGTAATTCAGGTCTGATTTCTGAGTAATTATACATTGCTTGAATTACTGTTGAAAGATGCAAGATCTCTGCTATAAGCCAGTTGCTAGGAATGTAGAATCTCATAGTTCCTTGATTTACAATTACAACAAATTTGCTATGTGATATATAGCATTTTTTTGTTTCCCTTCAGGAAGGGTGGTGGGGGGAATCTTTCAAGTGTCTCGGTAGCAGCTGCAGCAGCAGTATTTTCTGTCATATCAAATGCTGCAACTTTGATTTGCCTTTTTTCTCTGTGGCTTTTGCCAGGTAGTAGGCTTATAGGCTATTATAGACAGCTCACATTATTTATTGCTTCTTAAAAAAAAAAAAAAAGAGGAGGGAGAATATGGAGTAAAAATAAAAACAGACCTTGCAAAAGGTTCCCTTCCCCGTACTCTCTTGATAGATGTGTAATACTCTGTTAGTGACTTGCTATGTAGCCTTTCTCTTATTAAACGTAATAGATCCCCCTCTGCCAGAAAGCAGAGGAAAAAACACCCAGCCTTAAAAACACTGCTGCTGCTGTCTGTCAAAGCAAAGGGACTCACTGGGCTTTGACTTCTCGATACCTTCTGGTTGCTCTCTTTTCCTCTTGCTGCTGTTACAGGGCTCACTTTTTGGAAGCTCTGTGGAGGTTTGAAAATCCTTTGTTGTTGTCCAGCTTAAATGCATCCTTCCTTCTTTTGTCTTAGGAGCTTTGTAAACTCTTGCATTTAGTGACAGTGGCACTGGCATCCTGTGCACTGAGTAGAGATAAAAGTTAATTCCTTTTTGACTTGCAATGGAGTGGTTTTGTTAACCCTTAGGGGGTTGGTAGGTTTTAGAGCGTCAAACTAGTGCTCGGGACGCTGAGTCTGTGCACTCCTGCCTACAATCTCCAGCAGGCATTTAGTCTGCTTTTTCAAAATAGGGAGTTAATAAAGAGAAAAATGGTGAGGGATCGCTGTTGGGAGTGCTTTATTGCCGAGAGAACATACATCAAGAGTGTGTAAGTAGGAAGCAATAGGGTGAACTGAATGCATATATGCTGTAGGTCAAGGCTAGGATATTTGGGTCCTGGCTTACCTTGATAAGGAGTAAAAGCATTAACGTGGGTGGCTGAAGTTATGGGGCAGTAGGAGACTCAGTGACTGGGAACTCATGTGAGCAAGCACATAGGCATTTGGGTGGGTTCAGGATAACAGTCCTGCTTCAGGGAGTGTAACAAATGAAAGCAGCTGCTTTGGGCCAATAGGTACGGTGCCTGAATGCACTGGTGAAGGATGAGTTTGTGGATGAGCAGCATGTGCTGGGGATATATGCAGAGTTTCTTGCAGGGCCTCCCTAACAGCTTGGGCTGAGGCTCTGTGGACTGTGTAGGAGGGCTGGCCAGTGGGCAGCTCGCCAGCTCTGCTGAGACTGGCTACAGCGAGTGGGCAAGCTGCTGCTCCTCAGGAGGGCTGAACGGCTCTCTGGTGGGCTGGGGATGCCCAAAGGTCTCCTGGGGAGGAGAAGTGGTCAAAGTGGGCTGAGATCCAGCCTGGGCATGCAGCTGGGCTGGCAAAGCTGCCAGTGGGAGGCAATGGTCAGGGAGCAGAGGGGCTGGGGGGAGAGGGCACAGACAGTGTAAAGGTAATCTGAGGATATACTGAGCTGGTGCTCCCTCACCTTGGGCTTGAGACCTGCCATCTGGACTGTGGTTTACTTGCCGTTCTCTTGTGTTTTCAGTCCTTTTTTTGTCCATCTTCTTTAGCACACTACTGAATTAACCAGCTTGAGTTTGGATTTTCTTTAGTGGTCCCTTGTAGAAAAAGCAGTATGTTTGTGATAGAGGAGAAAAGACTTCTAAGGCCTATTAAACCACATAGCTGGCATTTTTTTAACATCAGTAACCACTTAAAATCTGACAAGATGCAGAACACCTGATTCTGAAAACAACTGTGCACTTTACTGATAACTTTCAACAACTTCAGAGTTTCTTCTTTTGCAGGGCTGAGATGAGCTTGAGTATACTGCAGGGCTGAGCTTGTGGTGCTTTAGCATTGCCTTGTATTTAAGGGCTTAAACTGCACCCCACCTTCTTTATTAGCATATGTAGTTTATCTGGCAATGTCTCTACCTGGTGATTTAACACAACTCCAGATTTACTTTATAGATCATGTCTAAGAGTTAATGAATTAGGGAATTAATTAGAATATAATAAGGAAGTGTACATAAATCTGTCTTCAGGTGTAAGGTTGTTGAGTATTGGCAGGTTAAAGTGTGAACTGAAGGTGATAGCATGCTAGGGAAGGAAAAGGGAATTACTGAAATGCTGTTTGGCTTTTCTCTTTGACACACCACATGCACAACTTTGATATGACAAGAAAAGTAAACAGAAGAATGTGAGAAACAACATATTAAACAAATGCAGCCATCTGGCTGTGTAGTGGTTGTAACACATTTTGAGATTTTTTCTTAAGTTTTCTTTTTTCTCCCTTAGAAGTAGCAATAATGCCTCATATAATACAATGCTAGTGGAAGCTGAAAACCTCAATTTTGATAAAGTGATTTCTAAGCAATAGCAATCTAGTAATGCAATACTTTCTGTGGAAGTAGAAGATAGGAATAACTTTGTTTCAAAGTAATGATAGCAAAGTTTACAGCGTGGAAAAAGTTTGAGGAAATTCTTATATTCATAAGAACATGAACTGAAAAAAGGTTTATTTTTAATTAAAAGATCTTCTAAAACTAGTATTTGTCTTTTCTTGGTCTGCATCCAATTCAACTGCATTTGTTAAATATTAAAAAAAAAAATGCCTTTTGAGGTGTTAAAAGGGTGAGGATGGGGAATTGCTTTTTCAGCCCATTAAGTATGTTTGTAAAAGTTGTGGTAAACAGGTGGGCGATAAATGAATTTTTTTTCTTTTGCAAAGATTTAGCCTACACTACTACAAACTTGTTTGTCCTTTTTTCACCAAGAGGAAAACTGAACATTAGCTGGAATAGCTGAGGAAGATATGTTTCTAATAATTCATTAATTCAGGATCACCTTTTAAAACTACAAAGCATATCTATGCTATACAGCTTTATTGATCTGAAGCTGACAATAAAAACTAAGTGTACTCTGGTAGCTTGTACAGTTCACTATACAGTGTACAGTAAGCAGTAAATACATACAGATTTTTAAATCTATCAAATCTGAGTGGTTTTTACACTTTTCCCAAAGGATATTTTCTAAGGCCTATACACAAAATATTTGTTTTAAAACAAAAGTTGTTCACCGGCTTGCTTTTGTATGTTATGCATTTCATGCAGACAGATTAATCAACATAAAATTTGTAAGTAAAGCTTACAAGATGAGGAAAAAAAACTTTTTTGATAGCTTTAACAATAACTGTCACGTTCCACTGGATTGCAACTAAGTCAATTGGAAAAAAGTATAGATGTCATGAGCTTGTCATGATAGTGAACAGTGAAAATTCTTTCCCCAAATGTATAGCCCACACTGCTACATTCTTAAGCTTTGATTTTTTCAAATTTCTCCAGAAGAGGGCTCCATGCACAGCTTGAAAGTCAGCACCCATGTATTAAAAGAAAAAGAAATTTATAAGCTTCAGGAAAAAAGAAAAGTCTTGCTCACACAAACTCTGATATAACATTAAATATTATGTTCAAATTCTGACCAAGCATTTCCATGTTGTATCTTTTTGCTGTAGGTCTTATTTTGTTTCAGACTGCTTATTATTTGAGAATTCTAGAGAGAAAGTCCTATATCTCTTGTGCTGTATCTGAGTTGTAAAAATGCTTAAAAATGTTAGAGAAACTCAATTGTCAATTATTATGTATAATTATTTGTACTGATGAGCATCTTGTGAGCAGGCTGATACTTACTCCTGACAGTTTCAGGCCATCGTTTTTGGTTATGTAGCCAAAAAGATCTTCCACTTGCATATCTCATTCAAAAGATGATGCCTCCCAAAACACAGAGCCATTCCAGCAGTCATGCTGTGCTATTTTTCAAATGTTGCCTTGGAGGGAAGGATGGCCCCTGGTGAATTAGTATGACTTTAGGCAACAGCTCTAACCTTTTAAAGATATTCTTACACAGGACTTGACCAGACTCCTTACTGCTAAACAAGGGGGATTTGTTACAATAGATGAGTGGAAACTGGTCATGAAAATGCTGCTAGAGTTACGGCATTACAATTAAGCCCACTTTGTTGTGTACCACTTGAGGCTCTATCTTTCAATTTAAGATGTAGCTCAGGCAATATGTTGGGACCTGGTTTCTGTTTCTGATGATCAAAAATTGAAAAAGGTTATTCTATTCTATGTAATATCTTTGTGCCACGATCCATTGGGGGTTATTGACTTCATTTTTAGTGACTTGTCGGCTAGGAAATGAGTATTTCTAAAAGGTATCTTAATAGTCCAGTGCAACAGGAACTATTAGAACTACGTAGATGGCAACAGTAGTGCCTGTTCAAGAAGACATGAAGTTCTGCCTTTCATTTTCTTCCTGTTTGTTGTTAGATAAGTAGACTCTTCCCATTCTATTTATATGTCTGGGCAGGCTAAGTTGTAGAGCTGTTGCTGTTATACTTTTTCTGCATCACTGCTGGAGTCAAGCTCTTCAGCTGCTGCGTTATATCCATGTGCTGTGTGTCAGGATTTTGGCCTCTGGTTTCAGAATTTCTATGCCAGCATAAACCTTCCGGGAGGAGGGGGGCTTCATTTGGTATTTGAGACAGAAATGTGAGGTTAATGGGTTTTTTAATTGTTTCATGGAAATAATTTCTTCATTCCATCTTTGACAGATCCAAGCACCAAATTCACTTTTTTGTGTATCACTAGTATTCTAACCAGCAAAGCTTCATCTGTGCAGGCAAAAGACAAATCTACCATGTCCACTGGGGAGGAGAGACAGAATGAGAGGGATTTATCATCC